TACAGTTGAGAAATACAGAATGCTTACAGTGTTAAAGGAAATCAGACCGAGCACATCTGAAAATTGGTGATGCTGGCTCTGCTTGTGCAGAGTGGCTCTGCTCGTTCTTCACATGCACAGGTGTAAAACAAAACTGATTCTACTGAGCACAGTGGGATTTGTCATGATTCATCATCATCATACAGCTATGCAATGTGAATTTAAAATTTTACTTAAGTTTTCACACGTGCTTCACACAAGCGTACCTACCAGATGTGGTGGAGGCAGTGGAGAGTGAACCCAGCTGGATGTGATGTATGTAGTGTATCCTGCCACCAGAAATTATCCCAGGCACGGTCTCTGGGAAAAAAGCAGTTCGTTTAAAACTGTAGCCTGAAAGGATGCCAGCTTGCCAGTGGTGCTACAGACTCCATAGCTTTCCTGCTTTCACTATGGTTATATATACAGTAAGTTGAATGTTGTTTCATCTTGCTTTCTCTGGAGGTGATGCTACATTAATGAGTTGTAAATTAATCTTTACAGATTGTTGTCTGCAGGAGCGTATCTTGTAAAGAAAGACTTGTGAAACTAAGCAGTAGAAAAGATATTAATAAGGAGAGTTAAAGAAAAAACTGGATTAAAAGAGATTTGATATTTGTTTATGATTTCTCCTTACTCTGCTCATGAACATGTCTTATGAGCAAAAAAGAGAAGCTGCCATGTGGTGGTGCTGAGCAAGAAAGCAGATCATATGTCCAGAAACAGGCAGGTGGATGTTTGAACTTGCCTTGGATCACTGCTCGATTGCAGCCCAGTTCTCCTAACAGGTGGCTTGCCGAGTGGTGTGCCAAGGTGACATTCATCCAGGGAACTGCCTAGATGACAAGCTGCTTCAGACTGAGGAAGAGGGTCTTTGCTTTGATGAGGAAATTGCCAAAACTCATGTCTCATTAGTGTTTCCTAAGGTTCTTTGGAAGTGAACAACAGTTTAATTAAAGGCTGACGTAAACACGTTTCTGCACACTTCCCTGCAGCATTTTATCACATTAGAATTGATCAAAATTGTTGCCTTGGGCTGTCTTGAACAGCTATACATCTGGAGCGCCATTTGTGCAAGCTGCTGATGAACAGGCTGCATACGCTATGCTTCACAGCAGCTCTTCTGCCTTCCTGTGTAGACAGATTTACCTTGTTGGGAGATGAGATGATCCAACACTTTTATTCGCATAAGCCCTTTTTTTCTTTGATGTCATGCTTTAAAATGTGTAACATGCCACCCGTTTGGGTGCATACATACTGTTTCTCCACAGTAATATGAGAATACAGGCAAGAGTGATTTGGAACAGTACTGAGAATTTAAAAAAAAAAAAAAAAAAAGCCCGTTTTTCACATTTGAAGAAAATTCTCAGCAGGACAGGACACAGCATCTGATTAATGTTGACCTTTTGATAACTTTGTCCAAGCGCTTTTGGCATCTTTCCGCTTTTCATCTGTACTTAGCATTTTTTCCAAAAGTCTGAAAATAAATCACTCTTGAAACTGTTTTATTTTCATTCTTAAAGTAGTGAGGATTGGAATCTCGTTCCTGAAACTTTGATGCAGACGTAAGAGCAAGTGGCCTATTTTTGTGACCTCTGTTTGTCATTCATTATGTAATTATCAGTATATAACTAAGCTCTATGTAGCTACTGGACTATATCTCATGATGTGGAAAAAATAAGATATGTTCTAAAATGAGAGAAATGTGTGTTTCCTATTATGTAGAAGCTACTAGTAAAATCATATGAAGTCTTACTGTCACTTTAACTCATTTTGTTTTATTTAAAGGCACTGTTTCTTACTATCAAAATTAAAAACAGTGAAAAACTGCCTTGCGATTATTTTTTTTCCACTTTTTGTTTTCGTAACTGGTAATTCTCCAAAGAAATGTAACTTGTGTGTTTTCCTATTAAAGCTCTAAGCCTCCTCTCTTGGTCAAGGAGGAGACGGCTGCAGCCTTTCTTCCTAACCTATACAAACAGTTATTGTTCTGCCTTCCCTGTCGGCTGCATCTGTTATTTGGCAGTGGCAGGAGGATGAATGTTCCGTTATGATGGCCAGGCACACACGGGGAGAGCTGCGGGGGCTGCGGGGGGGAAGGGGCTATCTGAATTACTTCTCAATGCGAAGTGCATTGGTTTTTTACCAAGAAGCTGCTGCCTGCACTTCAGCCGTTATTCTTTGCAGTTGCCTACACTATATATAACGAGACTTCTTCTGAAAGTACTTCATGGTGGTGTGCTATGCAGCGTACATTAAAGTCACTGTTTTGGAGGGTAACAAGTATTTTTGTGGCAGTGCTGAATTTTCTATTCCTGACTACCAGTCGTGTTCACCTTGATGAGGAAAGAGTCTTCTGTACGAGAAGTTCGTTGCATTTGCTTTGTAATTTATGCTGTCTGATTTCTACGTGCTAACCACAATTCTTACTTCTGTAAAGTAGGAGCAGGAATAAATGACACATTTTTAAAGCAAATGCTAGCGTTATCATAGTCACCAATCTCCTTATCAGTAGATTCTTTTCAAATTAGTGATGCCACTGGGGGGTTAATGGATACTCTGATTACATTGCACTTCATTTAGCAGACTTCTTCCTAGCAACTAAAATATTTTGGTTTTGAAAAACACAACAACTTTTGCTTGTTCAGTGAAGTAACAGTCACCAACCAAATTAAATCTCTGTTGCATTCCAGAAATCAGAGCTGCTGACGCATGCAGACCTTCAGCAGCTAGGCAGCTCTTTCTTTCTTGAGTTCTTTTGTTGAGTATGAGCTTTACATAAAGAAAAGATTTTCCATTTCCAGCCCATGGTTTGTTTTTTCCTTAGGGAGACTTCAGTGCAGTACTTTTAATCTGAAATAAAATTAAACTGTTTGTACATTCTCTCTTTTGTGATAACCTATATGTAGTAGAGTCAACAAGATATTTGGTCACTGATAAGTTCTGTGACAACTACTGATGACCACAGCGTTGTAGTGGGAGGCTGTGTCCACAAGCAATTAGGCACACTTATCTTTTTTTCTCAGACTGTAATATTGCAGTGTTTCTGCAGAGACAGAGATTCTGCATGCACAGAACCACAGTACAAAGACAATAGCTGGTTAATTTTGTCCTGGGCTTTTATAAAGCCCTACATCTGTTGTGGAGGTGTGAGAATTTTCTTGCTCTGATGGAACTAGGGCCTTATGTGAAGAAGCTAGGGCTGTCATTTGAGCAGAAAATAAAACATAACGAAATATTTGAAAATCATTCTAGAATTAATGTGCCTTCTTATCATGGTTTGCCTATGCAAAACCCAATTTCAAAAAATTCAGTCTTGCAATTTTAAAAATTATTTCTTAGCTTAGCAGAATGTATTCAACAAAACTGTAACCATTTGGCAACTTTGTCTTTGCTACCTGCTGATAGATTCAGAGAAACAAAATATTCCTCTGTTTTCTTCCTCAACAACAATTTATTTACCAAATTTTTATAAGAAGACAGCTAAAGGTGCCTCTGTCAGCACTCAGTGTTTTTGATAACAACATAAAATTGCAACAGATCAGTATAATAAAAAGCATACAGTAACCTTTGTAATATCTGTTAAAACTGAATGAGTGCTGAATTGCTCTGTTGTAAAGCAATTCCTTGCTCTTGCTGAATGTTTTGCTGAATAAAATCCTTTCTCAGCAGCCTTCTGGAAGAGGTGAATGTTGCAGGGTATCTGGGAAATCAGCAGGCTTAGTAGTCGGGACCAAAGGGGAGCAGGGGAGTTGCAGTGGGATGGTGGAGGGGCACTGCCAGAGTCTGCTCTGGGTCTGGTGCCAGTGCCTATGCAGGGCTTGACAGCGGGATGGGGCAGAGCCGACAAGCCGTCTCTCAGTTTGATGGGTCCTGCTCTAAGTATGGCTTTCAGGGTGAAAACACGCTCTTAAGCTCCAGCCAGTTCAGAAAGCAGTGGTCCAAATTGGCCTCAGTAAGGCGCTCACATTTTGCAGGCCTATCTTTGACTTCCAAGATGATTGTATGTCCCCCAGAATAGCACAATACAGTGTGCCAATATTAAAAGTGCCAAAATCACTTTAAGGGCTAACATGGTCCATGTAGGAAAATCAGTTGCAGTGTGGCCCCAGTCCAGTAAAGTACTTAAGAAATGACCTTTGCTTTAAACATGAGTTAGTCCCATTGATTTGAAATGGAACCCACTTAGGATATTGATGTGTGTCCTATAAAAATATTATAATTAACTTTGAAATAATTTGGTGCAAAGTCCAACAAATGTTGTTTAACTAATTTAAACGTTCAGAAAAAAATCCAGTATTTTTGCTTTATGCAATATCAGTAACCCTGCGTGGTAGAATTCATACATTTGTCCCTACTAGTGTGTTATCTTCACAGAGTGAGCGCTAAAGAGATGTTTTTGTTGATAAGGAAACTGGAAGGAAGAGGTGGGAAGGTCCTACTTGAGACACGGAAAATATGAGATAAAGAAGTTAAAGTATCCTTTATTCTTAGGGAGGTTACATTGTTTCACTATGGTTTTGGGAAGGGTAATGGATGGGTTTTGAAATAACAAAATAATAAATACCATAAACCGGCATGTGTATGGCAGTTACCCTACACACCTGAGTGTAGGTGTTCCATTAAAAAATGCAATAAAGATTATGTGGCTGTTGAAGGAGCAGATGATTTGGTGATGTTCTGGGGAGCTGAGAAGTGTCTAGGGAGGTTCTGAAGACATGCATTTTTTCAGTGTTTGGCTTGTCTGGTATGAAAGGAATGTAGTTTCTGTTTTGCAGGACAAAGACCAGTTAGGGGATTATTATTCATTCTCAAATTTGAAAGCAACAGTTTAAAATTAGTTTATTGGTCACAGGGGAGTTGGGTCACCAAACAATGTCTATTCAAGAACAGTAAAAATAAATATCTTCAGTCTACAAAATGATGTGTCCTGAGACGGGCTTCTAAGCTAATGTCACTGTTCCATTGTTTTTCTATTGCAGATATGTCTTCTCCTACAATGAAGAAACCTGAAAAGCCTTTGTTTAGTCCTACTTCTCCCCAGGATTCTTCACCGAGACTGAGCACTTTTCCCCAGCATCACCACCCAGGAATCCCAGGAGTTGCACACAGTGGTGAGGGTTATGGAGGAGGAAGAAACACCTCCCTATTCATTTGGTCTGTTCTCCTTTCCTACAATCAGATTGTGATGCATTTTTGCAGGCTTTCTTAGAGACCTTATTTCATTTACAATACTGATGAGAGTAGAAATAGAAGAGGTTGGGATATCCTTGCAGGAATGGTCATTAAACTCAGCTCAGGTAGTCTGATTGCTGCAAGTCACTGGAAACGATTTAGGATTAACCAGTGAATAAAATAAGCTGTAAACTGCATGAAGAAACTGACAGAGGAAAAATCCTCCCCGTCTTTCCTCCTTCTGCCTACATCCTTTTTTATTATTGTTGCTATGACTATGTTGTATTTAAATACCAGAATAGGTAGGATTTAATACACAAGGGAAGTCACAACTATGTTCACCATGTGACACAATGAAATACGTACCAGTGCTTCTTTTGAATGCTCTGTCTAAAGAAGTAGAGTCCTGATAAATATTTTTCAACATCTGTTTTCTGAAATCCGTAGTAAATCCATGGTAAAACTTCACTTAAAGTGTGAAGGAGACAGCTGAAATGTGATGGAATGCATGTTATCTTGAGGGTTTATCAGGAATGACAGGGAAATTCCAGCATCACGGTCCGTTTAATTTTAGAGGTGAGAGTGACCCTGATTCTTCAGATGAGAACACAGTCCTCGGAAGTCTCTCCTCAGCAGCTCATCATGTCTCCTTATAAACTGCATATAAAGGGATTCATTTCTTGAGAACAGCTGGGTGACTAGAGGAGTAAAACAGATTTGAGGACTCTTTCTTCTTTTCTTTAACATGCAGTTCTGCTTTGAGAAGTTTCTGTTTTGTGATTTCTCCATGATTTCAAGTTCCTCTCTTTCAATTCACATGTAAGAACTATTTTCAGCTTAACATCCACTTATTTTGCATTAAGAAAGTGAGCCTGGACTCATTCTGGTCTCTGTAAGGTTTCTACTGTCAGTAAATACTCAAGCACATCAGAGATGATGGGTGAAACGGAAGGGATAGATTTCTGCTCACTTGTATTTGTTTTGCACAGCTGCCGCATGTCAGAGCAGTAACTAATGTTTTATGATTAAACTGAACTGGTGGGGCTGTGATTAAAATAAGTCTGTCACAAAAGAGGCTTCCGTAATTATTTTTGGCCCTATACTTACGTATAGATCTTTGTATTTTCTTTACTGTATAATTTTTAGATATATGTATTTGAGTGACAGTCATAACCTAATTTGTAGATGAGGTATTTACTTGCTAGGAAACCTAATTTCTGTCTGTGTAGCCTGTTCTGTTATGTCAGTGAGCAACGGGTTTGAGATTTGCAAGGTTTTGATTACCAGTACAGCAGTTTTGGAACATTCCTACTGTTGTTTATTCTTGGGCAAACTATGACTTGGTCACTGCTCAAAAACAGCAAGCCATTTAAAAATTAAGCTGAAGAAACCCAAAGATACGAGAGGTCGTCCAGAAGGGCAGTGCTGGTGTGCTTGTGCTGATACAGTATAGAACTGGGAGCAGCTTATAAAATACCTCGCTTATACAGACCTGATTTTGTACCCTCCCACTAATAAAAATGAAAACAGCATTGTCTTTTCTCCATTTCCATTGAACTCAGTACCTCTTTTTTAATACGTTGCCAAATAGGTGCCCTCTAGATGTGTAGTAAGGGTGGAAAGCGGGTTCTTGTGCAGTCTGATAGAAGAGCACTCTCTACTTCCAGCCGGATGATGGGGCAATAGCAGGACATGCTGTACATTCCTTTCACTGTGAAAACATTGCTGGTTGTTTAGACATTACATATAGTCTATAGATAGAGAAGTGTGTGTTTGTAGGGGCTGGGAAGAAAGAGAATGCAAAGAAAAATATGTATAGGGTAGATACTTTTTTGTTTGTCAGAGATATTTTTATTGGACGGATTGGTTTCCCAGGCCCTTAAGTTGAATATTCATTAGCATTTTCACAAAGGTCAGCTAATATTCATGGCATTATTGATGAGTAGTTATTACCCCGTCCCCACATGAGGCAGGTAGAGTGCAATGCAGTGAGGAATCACCAGCTGTTTCTTAGGACTTGGTGGCTTTGCTCTCCTCTGTTGGAGTGCTGTGGGTAAAAGTGTAGGTTTTATTTATTAAGTAAAATATTTGTTTTGTTTATTTGGGATCCAGATGGGAAAACTGTATAATTGAAGTATCTTTTATGCTGGAGAACGATTACTGTTTAAAGAAAAAATGAAAAAATATGATGGCATAACCCAGAAAACCCAGACAAGATACAGTATTTATGAATTTGAAACAGTAGCACTTTCCATTGCCTGGGATGATGTGAGGGGAGAATATGTATGTTTTTCTGTAAAGATGCCACGAAGCAGGAGTGCTGTGTACTGATTTATAACTGACTTTTTATTTTTCTCGCTGTAACACAGAGGTGAAGAATTTTAGAAGAAACAAGATGCGAAGTAATTTTAATTTTATTTTATCTTCTCCAGTCATCTCAACTAGAACTCCACCTCCACCTTCACCATTGCCATTTCCAGCACAAGCTATTCTCCCTCCTGCCCCGTCTAGCTACTTCTCTCATCCAACGATCAGATATCCTCCCCACCTGAATCCTCAGGATACTCTGAAGAATTATGTACCTTCTTACGACCCGTCCAGCCCGCAGACTAGCCAGGTACTGTAAAACAATGCGAACCCCCCAAAAGAAATCCTATGAGGAATGTGTGTCTTCCAGGGCATCTAGACTGGTATCTCACTAGTTCTGGTCTCAGAGCAAGCTGGGAGCTGGCATATAAGCAATCCAGCAACTTTTCCTGTTCAGCATGGTTGAATACAGGGCGCAGGTTAGTCACATCCACTCGCTGTTCCTCTGCCAAGCTTAAGACAAATACTGGTGCTGAACGACGCGGCAGCACGACCAGGGCAGGTCCTAGCCCCGCACCTCCCGCAGGCTGGCCGCCTCTGTGGCCGCGCAGGGCCGCCAGAGATGAAGCTCCTGCTGCAGGACACAGCAAGGACTGCGCCGATACCTACGCGCGCACGCATCCACACACACGGGCATACAGGTATATTTATAGACCGACAATAAAAGGTAATGCTTGCCCTGTTTCGTAGGCACCTGACATTTCTTTGCACAGATGCAAAGACATTACAGTAGTGAGCACAGCACAGACCCACAACATCGTTTTTCCTGCCTTTTGTGGAGAACACGCAGTAACAGATGAGTTCCTGGCTGCTACACCGATTCAGACTTGTGTCTGATACTGGCAAATTAACATGGTTTTCATTAGCAAAGTGATTTGTGAAGGACTGTGTGCAAAACTGCTTTCCATGATAGCATCAGCACATAGCGTTAGCGTGTGATCTGCACTATAGGATAAACTGCAGTTGAGACTTGGTCTGTCAATACTTGGAATATTTCCAGTGTCAGTGTAATGTAATCTTTGCTGCTCAGGCTGTTACTTTATTTTTGATGCCTTGTCTGAAAGGCTCCTGTGGAGCCCTGCAGCTTGTGCTTTAGCATGTGTTTTCGAAGAACCTTGGGAATGTAAACTGAAGAGACAACGGTCAGGTTTTCCGGCTCCCAAGTGTTAGGTTCCTTTGGAAGGACTGTCGTATCAGGGTCGAAAGGGTTGCTGTGACAGCATTTTGTTTCGGGCTTTGTTTTGTTTTGTTTTTCACCAATAATGACAGGCCTTTCAGCGTGTGTTTCAGGCACAGCAGCAATAGAACTTGAGACTGAATCAAACTTTCTATGTCGAATAACAGATACGGCCCCTCCGGGCTGCTCAGAAGGTCATTGTGGCTATTGTCCCTATGGGCTAATGCTCTGGTCCAGCTGCATGACTTTCTACGTATTTAAAAACAAAAAGTGGGTCCATAAAATCAAAATTTACTTTCAAGGGAGAAATCCTAACTATGTGATTTTTGCTGGTAACCATATTAATGCAAATTAAACCAAAAAGTGAAAATAGAGTATGTCGGCTTTAGAATACAAATTGCTATCTGCGCATGCATTAGAAGTCTTTGAGTCCCATATAGCATTTTTGCTGAGACTCAGCTGGGAACGTTGCATGCAGGACCTGATTTTAATTTGTGTAAAATTTCCATGAATAACAAAGTCTAATTAAGACATCCATTAAAAGTCCTTAACATTAATTCAGCGCGGAAAATCTTAGAGTTCTGTTGGATTTTTTTTTTAAACTGATGTCTTAATTAGGCACTATTAAGGGAAAAATTATGCAAATTAAAATCAGGCCCTTACTGTTATGTATTTCTTTAATTATTCAGTGCTTGTTTTACTTACATTTTGATTTCTTATATATATTAAAAGAGCAGATTAGGTGATAATCTCTCTGGATTGTTCAGTGTTCTGCTTTGGATCATTGCTGAAAAAACGCAACATCTAAATGAAGTATCTGACTTTCTTTCAGACAGTTGACAAATGTGCTGTCTTGTGATTTTAAAATCAGGGAGTATATTCATTGAGCAGGAGAAGTGTTTTCAACGCTTTGCCCAACAAGAGTCTTACTCTCTTCCCTTATCTGCGGTTGAAAGATTAATCTTTAGACCTTAAAAGATAAAATTTTACTCTGCTGATTTTTTTCAGAGTGGTAGCAAACTGAAAACACTTCCTATTCTTGTGTTGTGGCACCATAGGGAATAACAGGCCAAACTGGCCTCAATTTACTACTTTCATAACCTTCCATGACCTTTACATTAGGGTAATGTTCTTCATTTCATTTGATGTTTGATTTAGTTCCTGAGAAGAGGAGACAGGGTTAAACAACACCAACTATGGGATTCCAGGCATCTGCATCAGCCATTCTCCCCAATTTATTATCATTAATCACTATTATTAGTGGAATCACTTTTAAATTTAATTCTTTAAAGTTCACCTCTGAGATATGCTGTACCTTAGAGGAGTTCCATGCCAAGTCAAAGTATCTCTAAATAGAACAGTTGAGGGATGGCTGTACAAAAAGTAAACCAGCAAGAATAATTTTTCGCTTAGGAAAAGAAGAAGCAGCCGCCTGTGAAGTTTCAGTGACAAAAGGGAATTGTTCTGATACAATGGCATGCTTTGAGCCAAACCAGTTTTTCTTTTCTAAATAAAACATGAATTTTTATTCAAACAAATTTAATTATTATAAAATGCAAAACTGCATCTGTAGGAATACCACATCAAATTTAATTATACTTTCCCACCTCAAAACATACTCATTTGTATTTCAAAAGGAGAACTATGATGATAGTTTTAATTTCAGCTTTAGAAATAGGAAGGATGGATACCCTGACAGCATTTACCTAAAATGAACTGTTCCTCCCCAACATCTTTCAGTAATATGCTAATTTAGATTGTTACGACAAGCAACTGAGATGCCTTGTACTCCCCACAGCAATTTTGAGATTAATTACATTACTGCTGCACTGATTATAGTGAGACAGTCATGCTATTCAATGGAATACTTTAAGTAAAATTAGTTTAAAGATATAGAGCTCCCATAGGCTTCCACGGTGGGAAGCAGTGGGCAATTTTCTTGACATAATGTTAAATACTCCAAATTATGTGTGATGAACAGTCAGGAAGTTCAAACAGGCCCTTTGGCTGCAGTGAAAAATGATTCAACAACGGATGGTCCTAAACAAAAGCGAGCCGTGGCTGTTGGTTTCATGCATATCTGCTTTTTATCTCCTGTTCAATCTGAAGAATAAATAAACAAATGTACTGAACAGAAATGGACCTTGTTAGATATGGAGCTGGACTTGCCTCCAACTAGTAGTCTGAAAAGTTCCCAAGGTTTTGAGAACTGCTGTACTTTCTACTAATTAAGTAATTCTGCTGAGCCCTTTTTGTTACACTTATTTCAACGCTTTTCTTCTTAGCTAGGCATGCATGTTATTGGATGAGATTGCGTGTGTGAGTATGTATCTGTATTATGACGGGGTGCTGGTCTCTCCACAGTTAAATTGATACTGGTTACTCACTGTAAGTTTCAGCAAAACCTAATCAATTGGTATGTGTCTAATCCACCTATGGTATTTATCCGTCTACAGCGTATTGAGGTTTTCAAAGCTACCACAAATTTTGAACATGTATTTCATTTCTGAATGATTCCAGATGGGTGAATCTTTTAATCTTGGAAAACATTACCTCCTCTGTGTGTATGTACACATGTGCACACACACACGCAAATCTGCACACACTTGAAACGCATTAATAATCGAGGGGGTATGAATCAATATACAGTATCAAAATCAGACTTCCGATGAGCCTGAACAAATCACCAAGCACAACAACACTTGTGTGGCTGAAGTCGAAACCAAAAGCTCCAAACTTAATGCCCCGTCGAGTTAAATGGAAAAATTTCCTGATTAAGGTGTGCTGAATCACAGAAGAAGGGTCAGCAAGTGTAATGAAGGAAACGATAGCAAACAGT